CAACAACAATTATTAAAGTTCGGAAAATTTAAGTCTTAAAACATATATCAACTAAACTGACCAAACCTTAAGCTAGCAAGTGCCAGTAAAATCCAGACTAAAATTCTTTCCCAGATTAAAGCTGTTTTATACACTGTGTGAAGTTGGTCAGGGAAAATCTTTCTTCCCAACTGACCAAGTTCCTCATTTGTAAAAGGAGGAAATGATTTATATACCATGCTCCTATAAGAATTCTAAGAGCTAACATATTGAAAGCACTAGGAGACATTTGTCGTAAGCATTAATCACTGTACTTTTATAGCTAATTCTTCCCACTCACAAGTGGAATTCCTGGAAGTGAGTATCTGACATATTACGGGCTAACAGGATTTCAAGATGCATTTATCTCTAGAGCAGATCACCTCATCACAAACTTAACGTCATATTTCCTTGTTTTTATAGGGCTATTTGTTTCAGACAGGTTCTCAGACAGCTCAAGGCTTTGAACCCTGCATCCTCCTCCCTTTGACTCCCAAGAGCTACGATTACAGGCATGTACCACCATGGCCCAGTTTACAGTTATTTTAAGTTAAAAAAATTGTATTAGGCATGGGCTTGGTCAACACTAGAAGAAATTCTTTTATTTGTTCATTGTTATTGTGTGTGAGTACATGATGTATTGGTGGATAGAATGCATGCAAAGGTAAGAGAATAAATTTATGGAATCAGTTCTCTTGTATCATTATATGAATCTTGAGGCTCAAAGTCAGGGAGTCAAATTGGCTCAGCAAGTACATTACCCACTGAGGCACTGAGCCTGCCAGCCCCACACTAAAAAGAAATCCTAAATAAGCCTCTCAAACATGCTGAAGGGTAGCATAGTCCGAAATGTCTATGTTCATCCCAAGTAGAATTATTTTAGTCAATGTTTAGTCAATAGTTATGACAAGTTACTGTAATAATCATATCAACTATCGGGAGTTATTATCCACCAGGTTCTGCTATAAGTTTTTATAGATATGATCTTATTTCAAAACTCAGAAAAAAAATATGATGTGTTAAAAACTATTATTTTGATTTTTTATAGTGTGTGGTGAGATGTATATGCACATAGGTGCAGTGTCAGAGCCCCTCGGAAGAACCCAGCAGATCTTGACTGAATCCTAGACAACTGGTCATTTAGTTATTCACACTGTTGGGGGTTTGGTTTTGCTTCTTTTAAATCATGACTGTGCCCTGGTTCTTCCCTCTTGAAGAAAGTACCTAACTTATTATTTTTTTTTTTTTTACAGGAGCCCAAAGTTGAAAGGCTTTGAACTTTTAAAAATGATTCTGGATTTCTAACGTGATTGGATTTTTAAAAGAGACTGAATGTTTAATGTGTTTGAATTCCTAAGTTCTGTGAAACTTTTACAGTTATATGTCTCATATTGTGATATTAACATTCTATCTTTAGGATAAATGAGAAAGGAAAGGTTCTAATTGAAAAGTGATGTGTTTGTGTGTCAAATTGACAAGGGGTCAGTTATACTGGCTAGGTTTACGTCAACTTGATACAAGCTAGAATCATCAGAGAGGAGGGAGGGGGCCTTTGAGAAAAGTGCTTCCATTAGGTTCAGCTGTAAGGCATTTTCCTAGTTAGTGATTGACAGGAGAGGACCCAGCCCATTATGGACAGGTGGTCCTGGACTTTTTAAGAAAGCAGACTGAGCCAGCCATGAGGAGCAAGCCAGTAAGCAGCTCCCATTCATGGCCTCTGCATCAGTTCCTGCCTCCTCCAGGTTCCTGTCCTGCATGAGTTCCTGCCCTCACTACTTTTGAGGATGAACTGTTATATACAGCTGTGAGCAAAATAAACCCTTTCTTCTCCAAGCTGCTTTTGGTCATGGCATTTTATCAAAGCAACAGTAACCATAACTAAGACAACAACCTTTTGGCAAAAAGATTTATAAGTGGTTAAGAGCACCTGCTACGATTTCAGAGGAGCTGACTTTGGTTACCAACACCCATGCCAGGCAGTTCCTAATCGCCTGCAGCTCCAGCTCCAGGGCATCCAGACAGTCTGCAGGTTCCCCCTCACATGCACATACCCACACATACCCACACACACAGCCACACACACAAATAATAAAACCAGCCTTAGAAGATTATAGAGAGACACAGGTAGGTACTGTTAGGTAAACGGTTGATGGAGAACAGGGTGTCTGTAGGGCGCCAAGTACAGCATTTCTGTTTTATTCAACAGATAACGAGACACTTCATCCACATCAATCTCAGGTCCCCACTAGTAGGAATACCAGAAATTATGAGAATCCTCATGTGTGATAGAACATGCTGTAATACACCTCCCTATAAAACACTACTTTTCAAAAATGGTCAAAATTAATGTAATCAAATCTTGACACGTCTCCAAATTTACAAGAATTACAAAGGCAAAGAAACAAATTAATAATCGACAAAGGAATCAAAGAGTCAACACTGTTCAGGATACTGGGCCAACTTACTGAAAAGTCAAAGGCACATGAGACAAAACAAACAAGATCATTCTTCACACTGAAGATGTAATAGCATAATAACCAAATAGTTTTGATTTCAACAAGCCTCCTAAAGACCTGGGGCTGGGATGTAGCTCAGTGGTAGAAGTCTAACCTAGCATGCTGAAGGTGCTGGGTTCAATCTTCAATGCGACATAAATTGGGCATGATGGTACCCACATGTAATCCTGGCACTCATGAGGAGAAAGCGGAAGGATCATGAATTCAAGGTTGTCCTCCTAATCACACAGTTGGAAGCCTGCCTGAATTACACGAGACTTTAGGGAAAGAGGGGCTGAACAAGCCTGATCTCAAAAAGGAATTCATAAAGTCACACTAAAATCTGACAGTAGTGTAGTTATGATAGAGGTCTAAATGTAATTTTTTAATGTAATTTAAAAAATTTTAAAAAGTACAAGGTAGCTAAATAATAGCTCCCTTTCCCCTTATCCATGGATATTACATTCCAAGACCACAGAGGATTCTTACAATTTTTTATTTTTTATTTTTGTACTATTTTTTATGATTTGTTTATTATGTATACAGTGTTGTGCCTGTAAGTATGTCTGCCTGCCAGAAAAAGGCACCAGATCTCATTAAAGATGGTTGTGAACCACCATGTGGTTGCTAGGAACTGAACTCAGAACCTCAGGAAGAGCAGCCAGTGCTCCTAACCTCTGAGCCATCTCTCCAGTCCCAACCATAATTATGAACAGATAACTGAAACCAAGCAAAATAAAAAGTGGAACAATAAATTCAAGTTAAGTATTAAAAGCAAAAGCTCTTCCACTGCAGCTATGGAGTGCCAGGGGAAACAGAATATGCAATCAAACTCTAGCTGAGTACCAGAACCCGCCATAAAGTAGGAAGTGCAATCCATGGGCTTGGGGGAGTGTCTGACACCCTTTTACAGGGTCTGCAAGGCCAAAGTCAATTTCATAATACTACAGTATCAGTCACCAAACTCTCTGCTGCCATGTACTCATGGAAAAGAATGTTTTCTTGATGAAAGTCAAAACACTCAAAAAAACTATTACTGCTGAACCTTTTATACACATAGATTTTGATATTCTGTATGATAAAATGGGAAATGTATAAGTCACTACCGCGTAGCATTTTAATATAAAATTCAAAGCAAACCAGTTTTAATTTAGAAGAATGCCAAAGTTCATAAATGCATTTTCCAATTCCATTTGGCAGCCAATGTTTAAGAGTACCATTCATCACGTTTTGCTGGACTAAAAACAGAACAATGCCTGATTTGTTATGTGCATATAACAAATCTGTATGCCCAGATTTTATTCCTATACTTAAATTTATCATATTAAAACACATTGATTATATAGAAGCAGAAATAAAAACACAGGGGTCCCTTTTTATTAAGCTAGATATTAAAAAGACTTGTAAAAATACCAAGTAGTAAGGAAGGGGCATCATTTTTAATAAAAAAAAAATTTCATGATCCAGCATTTCCAAATACTCAAATGAAGGAAATCAGTATTCAAGCAATTTTACAATTCAATATTTCCTAAAGTCACAATAACCATGATATTAGAATCAACCTACAGGCTCCTGAATAAACAAAATGTTATATATGTATGCAATGTTCACAGAAAACTAAATCCTAGTAACAACATGAAGAGAACTGGAAGACACTACATTAGATAAAGTAAGCAGACACAAAACTCAAGTAACCAGAGGGATGGGAGCTAAAAGAATCAATAAGGTAGCAGCTAAAGGAACTGTACTAACAGAAGTGAGTGTAAAATAGTGGTTATAAACTACTGGAAATGGAGAGGAATGAGGGGGCTAGAGAACAAATGGCTAACACTCACCAGCTTCCAGTGTGTAAAATTACTTCCCTGTCTCTGCAGACAGGTTATCACTGTGTAGCCTGGCCCGGCCTTGAACTTACACTGCTCTCCTCTGTACCCTGACTGTTAGGACCCTCAGTGTGTACTCCTGTGCCAGCAACAGGGGTGACTAAGTGTTCTATGACCCATCACAACAACTGTGGATGACCATGATCAATCATGTACTCAAAATAGCTTCTGGTGAGAATTTTGTAAATTCCCAACACAAAAGTACATGAAGTGATATTAACATGTGTTTATTATTTTAATTCAATTAATAACAAACATTTTCTAATTCCATAGGGTTAATTGATATTATGGTAAATATCAACAAATGCAATTCACATAAACAGAACCTCTTGGAAATTTTCAATGTTTTATGGATTTAAGGAGGCCTAAAGACCAAAAAGTAAAAGAATTCCTGGTTTACAAGAATGAGACAACTAACAAAATGTGTTGTTTAATCTAAGCGAAGTCAAATAAGTAGAAAGGAAGGTGTACTAAGTCTGTTGCAAAGATCCAAGCAAAATAAACAACAGCAGCGAATCTGCACAAATCCAGGTGGAAATGCAGTGTGGACAACGAATGTCAGGCTTCTGCGGACAAACAAGAACTCAAGCCTGAGGCTTCTTACCCTGGCTGTGAGGACTTGCGGGACTGAGAGAGGGCTGGTGCAGATCTTTAGTTGGTGTTGGGTAAGCCTCTTTCCCTTGGCGCTGACTCATCTTTCCTGGGGTCAAAAGCTGAGGTTCCTCACTGTTTGCTACAACAGCTCAAGAAAAAAAAAAAAGAAAAGTAATTACCATTAAAGCCATGGGTTTTGTAGCATAATAATTAATTTGAATAAAACTGAAATTCCTTTATGATTATATTAATCTTACCACTTTAGTAAGCTTGCATAATCATTTTGTTTTTATGTTCAGATACTATAAATCCAAGAGGAATAGACACGTAAGTCTCAGTTAAATAAACAGATTATAGACATTGTATATATCCAACTGGTAGGGCCCCTATGGTTTACTGTGTATCTTTCACAGGGTAACATTAACTTTTCATCATCTGTCAATATAACAGGGAGAGACAAGTCATCTCAGAGAAGAGACACAAATAGTCAAAAGTATAAGGGAAGATGTACAGCAGTATTAATGATCAGAAATTACAAATCAGTGGCTTGTGGAAACCAAACTGTACATTCAACTGAATTTCTACTCTGGTTTCTAATTTTTGATGGCAAATAGTAAGGTCAGCACATAACAGGCAAGACTCACATTCGTCCTAGGTTTCAAAGTCTATCTTCAAAAGGCCCCCTGATAGGGGCTGGAGAGATGGCTCAGCAGTTAGGAGCACTTGTTGCAAGTTCTACCCTTGCCTGGGCTATAGAGTGTTAAAGTTCAAGGTCTGCCTTAGCAACTTAGTGAGACTGTTTCAGTTAGTCTCCACAGCTCAGATATAGCAATGATGCTAGCCTGGGCAGGGTCCTGGGTTTCATCCCTAGTAAAAAGAAGAAAAGAGGGGCGGGGGAGGAGCTCCCCTTACAATAAATCCATTGCCTCAAGAGCCAAAGGATCTGCACCTTCGTATCTTTTCAACCTCCTCTTGGTTCCTGAAATAAGGGCCACCTCAGTTTTCCTTAAAAATGCCATCTTGCAATTTTCTGAGCCTGTTTTATTTCTTTTTAAAATTTATTTTTTTAATATGTGTTGTATCTATGTGAATGTATGCCACAAGTGTGTGGATACCTATGGAGGCCAGAATCGGGTGTCAGATCCCTCTACAGCAGTGGTTCTCACCTTCCTAATGCTGTGAACCTCTAATACAGTTCCTTATGTTGTGCTGACCTCAATAAGAACATTATTTGGTTGCTACTTCATAACTGCAATTTTTCTGTTATGAATCATAATGTAAATATCTGATATGCGACTCCGTGACAGGGTCTTTAGACGACCAAAGAGATCATGACCCACAGGCTGAGAACTGCTGCTCTAGAGCTAGGGTTACAGGTGGTTGTGAGCCAACAATGTGGATATTAGGAACAGATCTCAGGACCTCTGGAAGAAAAGCTCCCTTAACTGCTGAGCCATTTCTCTAGCCCTTGGGAATACTCTAACTATCAGGAATACTCTGGCCCAGATTTTTACTTATAGTTTCCTCTTGCTTGCTCTCTGTATTCAAATGTTATATGTTTGGAAAAGTCTTTTGGTTTCTTCATGGTGCTTGCTGATAAACAGGTTCTTGGTTTTAATAAAGCACAATTCATGGATCTCTATGTGTTAGTGTCCGCCCATCTCAAGCTATTATCTGTCACCATGATTTCCATGGTAGCCCGTATTGCCATCTGAAATATTTAACTATTGCCTCTCTTCTCCTCCATTAGAACTTAAATTTCATGATGCAAGATTTCTGTCTGCCTCTTTTCCCCATAAATGTTTAATCCTGATTTCTTCCTGACACATTGAAGATACTGCTTTTCCTGTTACACTAAAGGTATGTGATAAAATTTTACTTCAAAACCAATCAAACTAGGTTTCTTATTGTTATGAAGCTTCACCATCATAAAGTATATATTTTGGTTCCTCGAGCTACTAAATCTGGTTTGTTTGGTTGATTAAAAAATAAACAGATTTGTAATTAATAGTAGGAATGCACAAAAACTAAGTCATTTATACAACATGATCCCTTCATATGTGTAGTTCAGAAACATAACAGAGGAAAGACATTAGGACACCTGATCAGGCATACCAGACAAACAGAGTCCATCCTTCACTGCAGCACACACAAGCAATTTGCCATGAAAATTAAGGAAACAAATGAAAATATAAAACAGAGTATTTATATAGATTTGGGGCAGGTAGTAATCCCTACACAAAGATATACTAACACTAATTAAAAGGAATTAATAAATAGCACTACAACATTAAAATCAGGAATTCAGTCATTAGATAATCCCATAATGAAGCTGAAAAAAACACTGAACAGGAGAATATCCTGACAGCCATACAGCTAACAAAGGTTGTGTCTAAAGTGTTCTCAATCTATAGCTCCTATATACCAATTAGAAAAGACCAACAGCATCACAGAAAAATAGAAGGGAGAACTGAACAGCATTTCGCAGAAAATGAAAATGTCAGTAAGCACATGAAAATAGTCCCTCTGCTTAATAATCAGGGAGACGGAAATCAGTTTCACAGTAGGATATTTTATAGTCGCCAGAACCAAAAAATTAACAAACTTGATAATATCAAATAAGGAAGACAGGATCATCAAGATCTTGGGCACTGCTGGAGTATAAGATGATACTGGCACTTTGGGGAATAACTTGGGACTAGCACATACTTGATGAATGCAACACGATCTTATTCTTATAATACCTAGAAAACTCCCGTGTATTCTAAGAGACATGAATAAGAATTTTCAAACAACACTGTTCAGAAAAAAAAAAAGAAAAGAAAAGAAAAACCTTCAAAAAACTTAAGTGCTCACCAGTTCCAAATAAAATGGAGTGGGGTGAGGAACACTGGAGAAACAGCTCAGCAGATAAGAGCACCCATTGCTCTGCAGACAACCTGGGTTAGAATCCCCATACACACACATGACAACTCACAACCATCTGTAGTTCCAGTTCTTGGGGTACCAACACCCTCATCTGAACCTCTGCTGGCACCAGGTATACAGACATGCATGCAGGCAAAGCACACATACTCATAAAATAAAGCAACAATAATAATTCTAAAATAAATATTTAAATGAGTTGTCCAGGTGTGTGGTGTGTATCGTTAATCCCATACATGGAGGGCAAAGGCAGTCTACACAGTAATACTGTCTCATAAAGATAAAACAACAAGATGGGCTAATAACCTGAGGAACAAGCACAAGCTAGACTGGTATATGGCATCTATATCTGGATCAAACAGCACAGAAGAACCAGAGAAATACAACTACAAAATCAAGTTCTCAACATCTTACATATACTATGATACAGTCCTTTAAAAAATAAGAGGGCACTTGGCTAGCATAAAAGAGGTGTCCTGGATTTAATCTCTCATATCAGAAAAGAAACAAGAAATAAAAAAGAAAAACAAGCAAAACTTAGGACTACAGGGACCAGAGAGACGACTCGGTGGTAAAGGCACTTGCCGCCAAACCTGATGACCCAAGTTCAGGACTCACATAGTGAAACAAGAGAACTGACTCCCACAAGCTGTCCTCTGACCTCCAAAAGCACACTGATCACACGAATGTTAACACACACTCGCATGCATGCACACACACACAATTAATGTTAGATTAAAAATCTTAGAGATACATATGCAATTAAAATTTTTTAAATTTGAAAAAATACTTTTTAAGTGAAAAATAAAAATAAGATAAACAAAATAGCCGTCATGCATGGGAAAGGCCACAAGTTAGAGAAAAGGAGCAGATTAAAGCATGCTTTAGTATCTAATGCACAGGTGTGTATCTTAAATAACTACTCATAGGGAACAGTTCAGTTCACCTCTTCCCAACTCAATGGTCATGTGATTTTTGGAGACACGATTTCAACACAGAACCCAAACTGTACAGAACTCACACACTCCAGTCTGTCTGCCTCCTTACATCTTACAGGAAACTGTTAGATGCTGGAATTACAAACCTGCGCTGTCATGCCCAGATCTCAAGCAATCTCTTCTTTCAGAGTGTTTCACAGCAAGACAGGAAGCCCGTCTTCCTCTCTGTTCTGTCTCAACTCATTTACAAGCATTAACCATTTACAGACAAAGGAAGCTCTCATAACACAAATCTTTCAGTGTCCTACAGAAAGTGCACAGTAGAGGAGTACAGAAGCATAAGAAGCACAATGACTTTGTTTTTGTGTGTAACACTGACGCAACTGATAAACATTTGCTAAGTAACTCAAAAGCTATTTGCCACTGCAGTGTAGTTTCTGTCGAGTGATTCACCGGCCAGCAGTGACATTACAGTGCCCTCTGCTGGTTCCACTTATAGTGCAAGGCGCCTACTTTGCAGCTCCTGTTACTTAACAGAAATCACAGCGGAATAATTAATATTATGGTTACTGTACAAGGTGTGAATCTATCACTTTCCTTAGTTCCTGAATTTAAACACTTCATGAATATTTCAAGTTCTGATGTTTGTCCGTAGGTTACATGGAAGTCAAGATAAGATGCCTAAGAAACCTGTGTGTCAACCTAAATGTTTACGAGTCTTTCTCTTTGGAGATTATGGTAGTGATAGGATACAGTAATCCGTAGAGGCATTTTAGGATTTAAAAATATTCTTGGCAAAATAAAAAAACTGGGTAAAAAGGATTTATGCTCTACTTTAAAATTCTCCACTACCTGATAATATTGCTATTTAATGTGCAACATATTTTAAACAGTAAGACCTGTTGCAATTTTAAAAGTTAGTGCATTACTTTAAATTATCATCTTATTAAAAAGTTAAAAATATATTCTAACCAGTATTTGAGGAGAAAAGCAACTAACACAGACCAAAGATTATATATGGTCTACTTTTTACTAAAATATACTACTTGTGGAAAATAATGGGTTTCATTATGACATAGTGTATGTAATCATACTCATACCACCAACTACCCTCTCTCTAAAAGGACAGCGGTGACAAAAATCTCATTATGAAGAACTTCTGCCATTATCTTGCTCAGTCCCTTTCTTTGAACCCCAAAGGACAGAGATGGCTTGCAACGAAGACCTGACTACTAGACACAAATACTAAAACTTCTAAATCAGTTTCCTATGTTGCTATTCAATAAAATCAAATCCTCTGTCCAATTTTTGATGGAACAACACTTTAATGATTTTGCTAGACCTGAACTCAGGCAGTAATGCCTTACTCTTGCTTTGTAGTTAAGCAACAGTCAACAGTGCATGACAGCAACTGTAGCTTCCTGGAGATTAAGCTTTTAGCTTTAGACTTTTTATTTATAAAATTAATATTTTATTAGCTATCTAGGAAGTTCTTTTCAGTTCAGTGTTGCTAAGATTTCTTTAATGTAGCGACAATCCTGTCACTGTTTAGATGGACTGAACAACCCCGAAGGGCCATGATTTATTTGTTGTGCTTATTCAAAAGCTACCACAATGTGCAACCCTATTCAGAAAAGAAAAACAAAACCAGCAAAATTTGTTCCAGTAAACTGGACATAATTACGTTTTAATGGGTAATCTTCTAGACTTGCAAGATAAAACATATTTTCAACAAACAAACAAAAATATCACAGTCAAATTATATTAAAATTCTACAAACTAAAACACTATTTCTTGGTTTGAGACGGCAGTGAAGTCCTTCTATGATCTCTTCATGTGATGACTGAGCAAGGGTCTAGTGAAAAGAAAATCCTAAATAATGAATCATCCATCCTCTAGAGCAGTGGTTCTCACCTTCCTAAAGCCACGACCCTTTAATACAGTTCTTCATGTTGTGGTGACCCCCAAGCATAAAATTATTTCATTGCTACTTCATAACTGTAATTTTGCTATTGTTATGAATCATAATGTAAATATCTGTGTTTTCTGATGGTCTTAGGTGACCCTGTGAAAGGATCATTCACCCCAAAAGGAGTGGGACCCACAGATAACTCTGAGCAGGAGTTGCAGGTGATGGTGGACTCATCCTCTGGAAGAGCAGCAAGTGCTCTCTCGGCTCTAGATAGTGACCTCAGGACAGGCTCTGTGCAGGGCTCTCATGTGTAGACTGTGACAGATAAACAGTGGGCACTGAGCATTTCTCCAATCAAAACTGGGAAAGTATCTGTTGTTTACAAGTAACACCAAAACATTATCATGTCCCCAAAAGCATGGCATCCCAACTTTAGCTACTTACTTGATGGCCCAAGGACATCTTTGCTATCACCAAGAAGCTTTTAATGCAGAGGAATTGAGCAGCAAACAAACACAATCCAAACCAGGAAGAAGCAAACACCGGACGGAAGCAGCAGTGAGACAAAAGGACAAGAGGAACAGCGTTAGTCTGTGAGTAGGCAGCGCATGCACATTAGTGTCAAACATCATAACTTATAAGACATTTTCTTCTCTATACCAAAAGAACCTTGGCGGAGACAATACCAAATGTTTGTTTTAACTTGGGAAGTGAGGGTAGGAAGGGAAAACGGAATCACCAAAGTGTGTTGCTTTGCGATGTCTCAAGCCAAAAGTTCTTTTAGATTCCAATTCAAGGTAGGGATTAGGAGCCGTAAAGCTTCTTCAGAAACCTAAGAGCACTGAGCACTTCTTTTCCATCTGAAGCTTTAAACTACCTACCATCCACCCTCTACTGAGCATGCACTATGCATGCCACCAGAGCTCTCTACAGAGACTTAGTCTTACACAGAGAGGAGAACCTTTACTTCATGCTTATTGTATGATGACCATGGGGCAAATGGTTTCTACAAAGACAACAACAAATAGATCATTGTTTAACCAAATGGCAAAACGAAAAGAGGAAGTTATTGTCAGATAAATCACCCAAGGTTGAGTTTTAAGTCAAGACACAATTTTCTTAGGACTTGCTAAAGACAAGCATACCTGGAGCCACTAGTCCTTTAGGAAGTTCAGACATTCCATACCTCCCGGCCCTAAGCCAGCCTCACTGAGGACCCTAGGCTGTCCTCAATCCCACAGTGCTGCTCCTGCAACCTCCTATGTTCTGCCATACCAAGCAGAAGGTTCAGTTCTTTAATGAAGAAGCTAAAATTAACATCAACAGGGGAAAAAACCCTGCAGATCTCTACCTAGAAACTCTTTTAACCTCCACTATCAGTCAGGACTCCCTTATTGAGCACACAGCTCTCAGCTATCCTCAAGTTCACAAACCAGACTAAAAACTTCCCACTGATTGACTACATTGTTCCAGACACAGTGAACTGTAGCTGGCTATGACCACACAAGGTGACCTGCTTGCTTGCATCTCCTAGGAGAACTCCTACCTGCCACTTTCCTAAAGTGACAGCTGTTGAGCAATTCTGAATATCATGTTCTGTGTCTATTTTTCTTCAGATGTTAATCCATGCATATTCTTCTACGAATGGATTTCAGTTTCACAGAATACAGCTTGGCTGACAATGGACTCATTGTGCTCGGGTCCTTATTACAAACAGCTTGAAGGAGGAGATTAAAGTCCTTGTGAGGCAGGGCCGGAGAGATGACTCGGCTGCTCTTCCAGAGGACCAAGCTCACAACTGCCTGTGACTCTGGCTCCAGAGAATTCACTCCTGGTCTCTGCAGGCACCGCAATCACACATGCACACACCCACAAAAAAGGTTCACACATAAACACATAATTTAAATTAAAAAAATCTTAAAAGTTAGAAAAGCGGGCTGGAGAGATGGCTCAGCGGTTAAGAGCATTGCCTGCTCTTCCAAAGGTCCTGAGTTCAATTCCCAGCAACCACATGGTGGCTCACAACCATCTATAATGAGGTCTGGTGCCCTCTTCTGGCCTGCAGGCACACACACAGACAGAACATTGTATACATAATAAATAAATATTAAAAAAAAAAAGTTAGAAAAGCAAAAGTATCTGTGAAGACAATCTAAAATGGCTCCCAGTGGTCCTTATTCCCTGGTGAAGACTCCCTTCTCTCCCACAGTGTGCAGAACTACTGTATTTCCTTTTGTTGCTTTTGCTTTGGGGCAGGAGGAGGTGTAGGCTTGGTTTGAACACAGTGCCCAGGCTATTCTGAAGCCCTTGATCTTCCCGCCTCTGCGCCCGGTCTGTAAAGCACGCACTAGCTCACTACTCATAAAGGGAGAACTGCAAAAGGACAGCGGCCTCTTCTGAGAGCAGGTCGTGCTTACAGTACTCTCCCAGGCCAGTCTCTATGGTGGCCCTCCAGAAGGCGGCCTTGCAGAGTGGCCCACAGGCAAGCACTGAGGTGAAGCACCAGGTCAGGTTGAAGAGGCTCTCTCCTCTCCAGCCAATCAATGGAGTTAACGGTACAATTCCCTCCTAATCTTCACTGTAACCAACTGCTCCTGGATTCCTGAGTCACAAAGTTTGAAATAAGTGCTCACTGTTTAATACAACTTGACTCTAGGATCACTTATGAGACAATAAATTGTAAATAAATAACAGCAGAAAACTGCAAAAAGGCAGAAAGCTGACAGAGACAACTCTAGCCAGCTTTAAACATGTTTCAGAGACACCTATGTCTAAAAATCTTCTTGCAATGATAAATTTAGAGAAAACCTACACCTACTTGTCTTAAAACAAACCTACTCAAAAAAAAAAAAAACTAAAACTAAAACAAAAAAATCAAATACAGTAGTTTGTCTACTTGAGGAGAGAAGGAGATTGTTCATCAGGGAATAAGGACCAGTGGGTGCCATTTAGGATTATCACAACTACTTTTGCCTTTTTAATTTCTTAGACTTTATTATTATTATTTTCCCTAGTTTAATCAGTAAATTCACAAAGGAAAACTGTAGTTTTAACCATACAAAAAGCAGGAGAGCAAGAATGTGTGTGCACATGTACCTACACCAAAAAAAAAATAATAATTATAAACCTATATATTTGAAGGTTTTAGGAGAGTAAAGGGTTAACACGCTTATTTCTGCTGCACAGTTTGTTTTATGTTCTCCAATCCTGTTGGTTCACAGCCTGGGCTGACTTTTGTGCAGTTTCTATTCCTTACCTGTTCACATTCAAAACTAATTTTCAGCATAGACAGTAACTTTAGGTATTGCTCCCAAAACTGCATTAAAATACCAACATTACACCTTTCAGCATGCATGTGCCATTTGTGCCTTATCCCTTTCACTGGATTTAATCACAACTTTTTCAGTTTGACACAGTGAATGATGACCTGAAATAATACTGCCAATACACCCAGTAAATAGTTTTAGTAACAGCTATAGGCATAACATTTTAGCACCAAAGGATACTAGCAGTAAATGATATAGACAAAAATCCTGTCCTGGCTGGGGTCTGTACCTCAGTGGTACAGTGTGTGCCTAGTTCTGGGCCCTGGGTTTGACCCACACACCACCAATATCAGAATTCTGTCAGAGTAGTATTAAGTTTTAGTGGAGAAAAGGTAGAAGACCATAATAAACATTATATAGTTTAAAAATAAAAGGAGAAGATAAGGATAGAATAGGGGCATACTGAGCATCATGGGAAAGCAGCTCTGGGCTTCAGACAGGTAGCCTAAGAACACCCTACTAAAGTGTTCAAACAGGATATGGAGAACTGTCAGAAAGAATGCTACAGGGAACAAAATGTAAATGCAGAGGACTGGGTGTGAGCCAGTGCCAATGGCCTGGGAGTCAATGTGAATCAGAAGCTAGACTGCATCAGGAAAGAGAACTAACATTGAAGTCAATGAGGTGAAACGATGCCAGACTATGAAGTCTTTGCACAGCCTTATTCAGGCTTTGGTTGTATCCTGGATGGGATTAGGGGAGCAATAAATGGATTTGAGAAAGGGACTGACAAGGTCTGATTATATGTTAGCAGCATTATTCCAACTTGCTCTTTTGCAAATACTCTAAAAACAAGAGTGTAAATGGAGTTTACTGAAACAGTCTGGGGACAACGCAGTAGCTGCAGTGCAGGTGACGAAAGGTTATTCAGGGCTGAACACAGTTTGAAAGGACAGCAGCGAGATTTCCGAACAGACCGAGCTGGAGGCAAGAGCGAGGCAATCAAGATGATTTCAAGTGGTGTGCACTGAGCACCTGCATGATAGAAATGCCATTAGCTGAGCAGCTGTGTTATATGGAGAACACCAAGGAGCTCAGGAAGGCTACGTGGGAGACGTCTGTTAAGATATCCAAGGGGATTTCCAAAAGGCAGCTGAATACATAAAGTCTGTACGGAGAAAAGGTCCAGGCTGGTACAAGAGGCACAAATGACGATATGTGTGAGTTAGGTTCATGACCTGAATACCTTAGTCACTGATGACTGACAATTGTCGTAGTATAAAGGAACAGCCACCAGAAAACCAACTTATAATGGAAAACAAGCCTAAGACTCAAGTGAAAGCACTCCAAAACCAAAGCTGAAACACGGAGGCTTAAGAAACACTTCCCTCAAAGATCTGACATCCCATAATGTCGGTAAGCCATCCTTCCCAAGCCACCTGAGCATCATGCCAACGGGAAGCGGGCACAAGCAAGTGAATATCTTCTTGTTATCTCTACACCTTTGTCATTCTTACACTTTGGGATACAGCACCATGTTGTGTGACACAGAAAGACTGAGAAATAACTAAAGTACTCTATACAAGCATCTTGTGTTTTTTTTTTTTTTTTTTTTTAAACTAGGCACTCTTTGGCTTTAGTTAAAGCACTAAAATACTACTCACATCTCAAAGAATCCAGAAACTTCTCAGAGTGAAAAACCATTAAGTCAGATTGAAATATTTTCTTTTTATTCAATAAATATCCAAACTCATTTCAGTAATTTGTTACAGAAATAAATTTTCTAATTTGACTGAAATACTGATATGACTGGAAACTTTCATTTAAAGGATTTGTGGGCACTTTCATTAAAACAATATTTATAAGAATTCTTTAAATCATTATTCTATGAGTCTCAGAAAACAATGAAAACTGTGATCTAACTGTATTGTATATCTAAATGCGTGGTGCCTAATCTGTAAGTATTCCACTTTTAAGAAACACAAAGGACAAAGCAGAAGTTTATCACCATGCCCTTCTACCTAAGAACTCCTCAGTCTCAGCCACACCAAGACAACAGCCACCCTGTGGTACAAAGATGATTCCATGAGACTACAGTTTTATCCTGTAGCTCTGCACAGTCCTTTCTTCCCTGTATATGCACTAGCTTGACTGATGCCATCTGGTGAGTGTAAGGGAAAGTGCAGAAAGCTTATCCAGCAAGGACACAGCTGGCGTGCTCTTCCCCCAGTACAGTTAGCTGATCAGTCACTCTCTGAAGCAATCCTGGTGCAGGCGGCTCCTAGAACCCACATTTGGAAGGATTACACAATGCATCTCAGGGTTCTATTCAGTGTTATCTTTGGCTCCGAGAAGAAGAAACTTGAGGGAAGAATATGATGCAGCTGGGAGCTACTTGTTCTTAACAGAAGTCATCACTCTATACTTAGCTTGAATTTCTCATATTCCTCTAATCTGCAAAAATGTGCACATTTTATACTTGAGTTTTACATCAAAGACCTTAAAGCATCTTTTTTTCAGTGAACTTGAGCTTATCACTAATGGCTAGAGACTATGCCTTGGTCCATTGGGTACTTTTTTTTTTTTTTTTTTTTGGTTTTTCGAGACAGGGTTTCTCTGTAGCTTTGGTGCCCATCCCGGAACTAGCTCTTGTAGACCAGGCTGGCCTGGAACTCCCAGAGATCCGCCTGCCTCTGCCTCCCGAGTGCTGGGATTAAAGGCATGCGCCACCACCGCCTGGCTCCATTAGGTACTTATCCCATTTTTACCACATTTAATATAAGACAAACACATACAAACTAAGGAAAGATACACTAAAACATCAACAGGGTTGTATTCAGGAGGCAGAGTTTGATTTATTACGTTTTCTGTGTTTAATTATGGTACATTACTATGCATTACTTTTATAGTAAAAAGTAAGAAGTGGAAACAAAATTTTAGATTGGTCTATCTTCACTTGCTGTGTTATATAATGGCAATGCACAAAGTGCAGTAGAAAACACCACTTCCAACTTGAAATCATAGAAAAACACAGAACTGTTAGCATCTTAAACACAGGGTCATACATTACTCACTGTCTCTTCAACTGCAGCAACTTCTGAATATGACATGATCTAAAAAAAGAAAACAAATTTTCTCAGGAGCAAATTAATCTCAAATAGCTGAGGTGTGAAGTAGAGAGCACCCAGCGTTTACGAAGGACTTAGGTGGGGGAACAGTACCCTAGAAGGAAATATTTAAAGGAGGGCAGGAGTATCTTCACACTAGCAATCAAACCCTTCACTTTGTTCTTTTAGATCCTGCGGTTTCAGGAAATTGCTATCCGTCAAGCTATGAAGTTCTCTGGAATGTTCTGGAGGGAACTTCATTTTTATTTTTCTGGGTATTTATTACATTCTATCAACTTTTTCACTATGAAGGGCTTTATTGGTATTTCCTGCTGTCTTACTGCACTGTGTCCTCAGGTAACTGGCAAGTCTGCTCTGCAGGTGGAGCTCGCCTCTCAACACTTCTACCCATGCATTTGGACACGGCTAGGAACTAACTGCTAGTTCTGAAATTCTGCTAAGAAAGGGAGGTTCTTAGGCTTATTTTTGGAAGCATTTTTTTTCCTGTAGAAAAAATAAAACTTACGAGCTCTCTCTCTGAAACCAGCTCCTATACCCTTTTATCCATCTTCTTCCTTCACCTACTCAGACAGACCCCAGTCCTAGTCAAGTCATTAGGCTCAGATTATTCCTCTCATCTACAATGTTCTAGCTCACATCCAGTCTCTAATTTCCCAATAGTACATCCTGCCATTTAAACATTTCCCCCCTTTCAAAAGCTGGACCCACGATGACTCTCATGCACTCATTCATTTACCGTGATAGACACTGGAATTCAAAAAGGGATAACGCATGCCTCCTACCGCCAAGACTGACCACGTGGATTGTTTTTTTTGTTTCTTTGTTTGGTTTCTGGTTTTTGGAGACAGGGGGTTTCTCTGTGGTTTTGGAGCCTGTCCTGGAACTAGCTCTGTAGACCAGGCTGGTCTCGAACTCACAGAGATCCGCCTGCCTCTGCCTCCCGAGTGCTGGGATTAAATGACCGTGTGGATTGTACTTGACACCAAAGGAGTTCTATCTGGACGACTCAATTTTAATCACTCTCCAAGCCAGTCCCTGAACTCCTGTGACATTTCTTTCCTCCTTTGTGAATGCATTAGTTATTAAACTTTCACTCTCTGGTGCTACTGTGAAGTTTTGTAATAGTTTGTTTAAGAATGCTGTCTGGTGTCCTTTCAAACCTGATCTGGACAGTATTCAACCTAAGATAATTTCCTAAGTGATCATGCTGACTGTGTTATTCCTCCACTCAAAAACATCTGATACAGTGTTCTTTATAAAATAAGCCTCAAACTCTGGTATGTAAAATGTACAACTCAGCTAAACTCTTCATCCCACAGAAATGTTCTGCTCTCTCATAAGAAAGCCTAAAAAATCCACTTACCTAAATTCTGGCTGCCAGAACTGATGTGCATAGTGATTTGTAATCTGTGCCTCGCACCCCCCACCACAAGTTTTCTTTTTGTTTAGCCGTCCAACAATTTGAAAATCCTCTGATCTTGATGGCTCAATTTACATAGCCAATTCTGTTTGCCAAAACCCAATCTGGAGCTATCCGTCCAAGTCTCTGGCTTCCTCGAGTATTTCCTTATCACTCCATGTATAAACATGATCTTCCATCTGTACTGTCACTGCATCCTTCTGCTGTCATCAGACAGGACTGTGACAGAACCCGGTGCCACCTATTCCTTAAGACACTGGCCCTGCACCAGGCTTCTCAGCAGACAGAAAGCTCACTATCACTACTCTCTGCTCAGAAAACAAGGTTATAACCAGGCTTGGTTTTGCAAGCCTTAACCCCAGCTACTCAGGAAGCTGAGGCAGGAGGATTATGAATTCAAGGCCTCCCTAAGCCACAGAATGAATACAATGACAGTCTGGGGAACTTAAACACATTCAGATCTTATCTCAAAATAAAATGCACAAAAATGAGCAGAGCACTTTACTAGTGTGCAAAAGGCCCTGTGTTCAATCTCCTAGAGAAAGGAGGATAAGGGAAAATCGGTAAATCCTTGAGACTGTGCTCAGAAGACATCCCTCACACTCCACTCCCTACTCTGCAATCTATCCCTCTCCTTCCTATCAGGCTTTACTTCTCATCACATGAGCACAGGACAGATATTCTGCTGGAGTGAGAACTGGCTCTGTTTTGCTCACAGCTGCACTGCGTAATGAAACAAGAAAACCTAGCACATTCCAGAATTCAACAAACAATACATGGATTTTATGCTTGAGTGAATCAAGACCAAGATGAATGAAGACAAATATCTTCTCAGCTTCTAGAAGTCTATTCTCTTTCTAAAAATCACCGCGTAAACTAGTAGTATACTTACACATAAACTAGAATACTAGTATACCTTGCCGAGTGTTATCAAGCCACAGACAAGACTGTTAATGCCATGGAAACACTGGTCTCTGTGATGCATAAGTCTACCACAGACAGGAAAGTAGTTACTTGTTCCTCGGATCTCAGAAACCGTGGCGTGCCCAAGTATCAAAATGACCCTCGCACAAAGTCACAGTTAACTGCCAGAGAGCAATACTCTGGAAATGATCACGTGGCACATAATTTCACGTGTGCATCATTGCATTTTGCTCATCCATTCACCACCCCCACTGCTTCTCTTCTCCCCTCTCTTAGGTCTCCTTCCTCGCTACAGCTTTCATTTCAAACCTGCACTCGGGTCCACACAGGAGAGGAAATGTGCGCTTTCCTGCCTTCTCTCCCTCACTCCTACCCGCTCTGATTTCGGACACCTCTCTCTCCCTTCCTTCCTCCACACAACCCCCTTCCACTTTCACATTATAAAATTTCCAATCCTGCATACTTCTCCCTAAAGTTTTATGGAACTCCTTCATTTTACTAATAGAATTGTTTTGAGATAATATGTACAATTTTGAGCGACTCCGAGACCTTGGATTACTCAGCTGTGATCACATCCTGCTTAGCGGAAGCTGCTCTCCATAAACCTTGGAGCTTCTGTAAAATAGTTCCTAGTGGTGATTAGGAAAAACCTTCATCTGTCGATTTAAACCTTGGATAATTGTAGTATTTATAAATACTGAAAGAAATAAGCTTTTAAAACCAGCTCTCCTCAAGTCTAGTCCAGCAAAACAAAAAGCTATCTATTTCTGTTTCTGGCTAAAAATTATACTGTCTATACTGAGTAAATGACACCTAAATATGTATCATTTCTAATTTAGATTTCTAACTATGAGAATGACACATGCAACATAGAAGAATAAACTCCCTCCTGCATTTTTCGAATTTATTTTTGAATTCCAAGCCACTGTTCGGAATCTTCCGTCCACTTTTAGCCGTGCTACACATAAAGTAAACAGGAAAGAAAACAATTGTTTTTCACAGAAGAAATAAGCCCATCACCACTACCTACACATCCCAAGAAATGGAGGATGAGGCAACTGTAGAGCAGGACATAATTTTGAAAGTCTACACAAAAGGGATAAACCTACTAAAAGACAAAATTCTATTAGGACTCTCCAACTCTTCCCTCTAAATATATACACATAAACCACAGGTTGAGCTGTATGAGGACCAAACAGAGAAAAACAGCAGAAAGACTGTTGACAGACAGGTGAGGAAGGCCACGAGCTCAAGGTCTTCCTTGGCTACGGTAAGCTGAGGTCAGCAGTGGCTACAGAGTAAGCTCAAGAGCAGCCTGAGAGGTTTGAGGTTTCCTTCTGAGATCTTCCTCCCTAAAACTCCTTAGGTCAGTTCAGCCACAGCTGTATGAGATTCTCTCAACAACAAGCAACAAAGTAAAAGGTTTACTAAAGCAAATTAAATATGACAACCTGCCACAGCCTAGACAAGCCCAATGAGTCAACGAGACAACTCTGCATTTGGCATCCTGCATGAGACCCTGGAACAGGATACGAACATTAGCCAAAACTAAGCAAATCTGAATCAAGAATAAACCTCAGTTAATGCTTTATTGGGTCAGAAAGATGGCTCACTGAATTCAACGTGGCAACCTGAATTCACTCTCCGGGATGCACACGGTGAAGGAAAGAATCAACTCCTACAAGTGGATCTCTGCGCTCCCTAAGTGCATCACCACAGCTTATGTGCACACACAATTAGGGATGCAGCATAGTTGGTAGAGTGCTGTATTTGATCCCAAGACCTCCACACACTACACATCATGGTACATGCTATTCCTTAGGAGATGTGGGCAGGAGTCAGAGCAGAAGTTCAAAAGCAACCTCAGCTAAAAACCAAGTTCAGTGCCAGTTCCTGTATCAAAAAAATTGGGGAGCTGGCACAGAGGATGAAGTGCTTGCTCGACAAATTGAGAGTCCCAGCACCCACACTAAAAAACAGGCATACCATGATGGCAGGAGTCTGTGACGCAGCTCTTCCATGCAGAACCAAGCCCTGAGGAAGGTTCACTTGGTCACTCACCCTAGCAAACCAGGGAGCTCCAATGAGCTCTTGGTGAGAGATCCCATCTTAAATCATGTCAAGAACAACAGAAGAAGAAAAAAATCACTCTCTGATCTACACACACACACACACACACACACTCATGTGTGCACAACCATAGACATATGCCAACAGGAATACATGCATATCCCACACACACAGATGTACAACTTTTTATGAGAATATGCATACATATACAACCATGTGTATGTGTGTGCATAAAAATATAAGGTGAAAATAAGAGAACGTAGATACAAAAGATAAAGAAACTATCTTTGCAATTTTTCTGCACTTTAAAAGTCAAAACATTGGGGCTGAAGAAATGGACCTTCAGTTAGGAGAACTTTTTCTTGTAGGGGACCCAGGATCCATTCCCAGCACCCACATCCTCACAACCATCCCTAACTTCAGTCCTAGGGGACCCAGTACTCTCTTCTGGTCTCACTGGACCAGTGCACACATACATGCAAGTAAAACACCCATTCACATAAAGACAAATAAATCTTTCATAGAAAGGTCAAAATATCCTGTGGAAAAAGTTAAACTAAAAATTGAAATCACAAGATTTCACAATCATGCCTTCAAGAAAAAAAAAATTACCAAATCAGTGTACAGGTACAAGAAAGTAAGAAAAAAGTACCAAATACCATGGTATTATTATAATTTTGATCTCATATTTGTGAAAGCCTATTGGAAACCAGACTCCTGGGAACACACAACGTTTTCAAACAGGACTGGGGATGTAGTTCAGTAATAAAGCATTCCCAGCCATCCTCCAAGCCCTGGGTTCTATCACCACCAATGGGGAAAAGAAATCTTCAAGTAAAAATGCAAATCAAAATACACAACCTTTAGCTGGGACATCTGCTTACATACTCTGTAGAGGACTGGCTATGTTTCTCCCTCTCCTGTAACTAACTCTTCCTCTTACTGGCTTCCCCAAATTCACTGAGCAGTCTCACTGTGTAACTGCAATACTTTATTTTTTACGTAGAGAGATCTACTTTGCATATCAACAAGAAAGTATGTAATTCTGGGAAATCAGTTTCTAACTGTATTTTGTTAAGATTTATTTTCTTGCCGG